CTCTACCAAAAAATTGAGTGAGTTCCTATAATACAATTATATGTGTAATTATCTGCTTAAAGTCTGGCTTATCAATTCATTGCCATAAATATCAACTCGACTTGTATCAAATAATATCACCGGGCACAAATTTACGAACACAAGACCACATCGTCACTCCTCAAGACAACTTCCGCGCAGATGCGTGAACCTTACAACTTCACGACAATTTTATAAGGCGAAATAAGGAAACTGACTATCTTAGTGATAATCGGTCCAAAACTTATTCCGCACCATTGAAAATACATCAAAGATCTTCCATCGTAATGGTTCGGAAAAATCAAGTAACTTCGATTGTAGCATTACCAATAACCAACCTGTCAATTTTGACCAAATGGACTTGAAGTTAGCTAGTTAAGTAATTTTATTAAAGGTAGACAATGTAACTATTCATCTGTAATTTAAGGAAATTCGATTATGAACTATGTGAATAAAACAGGTTTCAGAGACCATCCACCTGTCCTCTACCAATTTTAACGAAATGTAAGTACGCCTGACTCCAATGTTTCACCCAATGTCATGCGGTAATGGATATCATCCACAAGTAAAAATGCCTTTGACAAACCACAGCAAAAAATATATATATAAATTGAATAAGGAGATGGCAAAAAGACATTGATGAGCAAAAATGATACTCGGGTTCGTAAAGAGCACTGCTTACCATCCCCCAAACGCCCAGAAACCTTGGTAGAAGGCCAGTGCCAGATACCCAGGCGCAACATTAGATCCCTCGAATGCGTTGTGAAAATTTTCCACGTGACCTAACACAACAGTAAAATAAGTCATCGAAGGTCAGGCTTTATGCTGCTGATATTGGCGGTGGAGAATAGGGGTTGAAGTAGGTAAAAATAGTGTATCATTGAAGAGTTACACAACTTACCAGTTCCAAGGTAGTAAAGTCCGAAACCAATTATCAGTAGTAGAGCTAGAATCTTCCCTAGTGTAAAAACCACAGCGAGTCTCGTCGCCCATTTCACCTTGTAACAGTTTATTGCAAAAATCAACACTAGGAGAGTAAATAATCATAGATTTTCGCTTACTCAAACCGCAAAGTGCAATCATGTTCACTGTCGGTCCTGGGATCGTACAGTCTGGGTAGACCGGTTGTAACATATATTGTGCAAAGACGATAGAATTGGCAGCACAACCAACTCCACCAAGGATAACAAATGTGATCCACAAAACAATGAATGCAGGCAAACCGCCAAATGCTTCAAGAATGTATGCATATTCGCCTCCCGACTTCTGGATTCGCACACCCAATTCGGCATAGGCCATGGCACCAAGCATGCTGAAGAGACCCGGAACTATCCACATGATTAGTGAAAGGCCCACGGAATTGGAATATCGCAAAACACCAACAGGCGATACGAAGATGCCTGATCCAACAATAACACCAAACACGATGCTGACGGCTTGTATCACGCCAATCTCCTTCGACATCTTAACTGCCACCCTCCCACCATCGTTAACAGAAGCTTCACCCGTACATCCTGCAGAGGCGCCACTCATTCTCAAATCCTCGCGACATCCCGTAGCCCACAGGCAAGAATTTATATTATGATTCACAAGGTACAATTATTCAAACAAAGCGTAAGGAATTTTATGTCAGAAGGAACCGCTTAAAATCATAGCCATATTAAAAATTGTTTACTACTCGAATTTATCTATTTATGTTTTTCAAGGTATTGCTTTAGACAAAACATTATTAAAAATTTATGAAATACTACGAAAATAAATCTTTGTTTGCATTAAAAGGGCTCAATTTACCTCGGTTTGCGTAAAAGTTTGTCTTAGAGCTAAAAATACCTTGTGTAGTACCTCGGGTAGGCGAAAAAGTTTGCATGAAATAAGCAGTTTACGACTCACTAAAGCATCCTGAGGCTTCCAACCAAAAGAATGCATTCATAATAGCCAAACGGATGTGTCCAAGAAAAATAGAAGCAAGATTAGACTTCAGGTAGGCGTAGCTGTCAGTAAAGAGCATAAAGACCGGACAAATAACGGAGTTACGGCCAGTCTTAGAGCCTTATTCCATTTAGCTGTTAAATATTCGATCAGTCCCTTTTAAAATATCTGATGATTGTATAAGAATAAACCTTTATAGCATCTAGCACAATACCTTCCGTGAGTGTGCCACCTGCTTTAAGAAAATAAGGCACTTATTCGGCTTTGCTTGTGCTTGATTTGCGGTCTCTCTTATTGCCGTCGTGCTTTTGCCTCTCTGTCCAAAAATCGAGACAAAAGTCTTC